AAAAAAAAAAAAAAAAAAAAAAAAAAAAAAAAAAAAAAAAAAAAAAAAAAAAAAAAAAAAAAAAAAAAAAAAAAAAAAAAAAAAAAAAAAAAAAGTGTAAACAGAGAACCAAACGCATAATCATGCATCTAAATAAAGCTAATAGCTTGACTAAATTTACGGAGCATGTCAATACAAGCATAAATCTAACACTAGCTGAGCACAAACTCAAGTTCACGGGTTTGTACATTTTAGTCAAATGAAGTCTTATTCAACTGTAACTAACCATGAGTTATGCACAACTACAAAATTTCGAAACAAATTTCTGAAATTTGGTTGTGTAATAAAGAAGATGCAAAACAAAAAGTAAAATATAATAATCTAATGATACACATTGATGACCAAAAATATTTTATAGAGTATCAGGTACCAAATTAAGCAAGAAAAACAATACATAGAATATCATGTAGATCACTCAAAGTTCTTGTACAATAAGTTACAGCCTTACAAGTATAGAAGATGTGATTTAATGAGCCAAAATTGCTTAATATCCACAGTTGTGAGATACCTTAGCTTCAATGGCAGGGAAACCTCCCAAAGAAAAACAAAAGAGATTATATTTGTCTTCAACCTGCTGTAGATAACAGCTGTATCAAGGAAGCAAGCAATGTTTCTCTAGTGTAACAATCATCCAGCATTATTGTATTTCTCATAGGATATCTCAAGCCAATGTCCTTAACCAACCAAGTAATTTAAGGAGAGCAGCATCCAATACAGGGGCCTTCTTCTCAAGCCCTGTATAAAATAAATAATTAAATTAAAATTAAAAAAATTAGCAACATTTGAATCCCAATTGAGAATTGTTAGCGTAAAGTGTCATCTTTTATCCTTACTGCACCTCGAGGCAAGGCAATTTTTAAGAAGACGTGAACTGAGGAGTTAACATATGCATTTTGACTGTGTACACATGTCAATTTTGATATTCTACTTCTAACGTCACAAAATCAGGATTTTAAGTTGATGAAAAGACTTATTCCAGTCAATGTTAAGACCTAATAACACAGGAAGAAGGCCTCTTACCAATATCTGCCGCAACTCGGTGAGCACACATTACTCCTGAAAAAGCGACAGCTATAACACCTTGTCCTGGAAAGCAACTATCTCCAACACAGTAAAGATTGTCTATACCCTGCGAATTTCATAATTGTTAGGTCATGTCCATTCAGTAAGTTTAAAGTATTAAAACTGCCAAATACATTACTATTGACTTACAGTCGTATTAAATGGCATTCCTAATAAGCCCTTAGGAGTTCCACGAGGCATTGGTCCATAGGTACCCTTATCCCGAGCCAGGTACCGCCTGTGTGTTTTTGGTGTCCCAACCTGCCATAATGAAAAATGATGTAAGTTGGCCTACAATATACTAAAGGAAATAAAAAAGGAGAGAAAAATATCATCCTTAAATGGAGATGTATGTGTGCCGGATGGAAATTTTGTACCCGTCCTTAAATGCAAGGTCACATACTTACTATTACTGACCAGTATGAAGGTGTGAATTATACCTCCTTAAAAACAATGGACTTTTTAAGCCCAGGAAACAGTTTTTTCTCCAATCTGCTAATTATTTCATCTGCCACAAGTTCCTTCTTTGCATTGTAGTCCTTTTGAGACATTCCCTAGTAAAGTCAGAAGCACCTCAGATTTTTCATTTAAATCTATAAAACATACAAGTATGATTTAGAGATTATCATTTGTAATTTGAAAATTTACTCATAGCACTGAACTTACCTGCCAGTCTTCTATGGAAGAAGTTGTAAATATGTGAAGGATATGGCGCCCCTCAGGAGCTAGTGATGAATCAAGAACAGTCGGTATGCTTAAAAATATACTTCCATAAGGCTCCTCTAATCTTGTCCAGCTATCCTAAGAATCGAGGGAAGAAAATATTGCGAGTGTGTTTATATGAATTTTCCCTAATTAAATGCCCCCAAGCTGCTAAGTAAATAAAACTAATGAAAAAAGAAAAATACCTCAAGCACAAAATGATGGCAATCTGTATCCGGCGGCAGAACCTCAGCTTTAACACCCATGTGAATGGAAAGAAAAGAAGGAGCCTTGACATAAACCTTCTGAAAATTTTCTTCTTCTTTTGGAAGTTTTTCTCCCTTCAATAGCTTCCCTAACAAACCATATATTAAAGTTTAACACAGAGAGAACAGAAGATCTCAAGATCATAGACAATTAAAGTAATAAGCTCTTAGCTGAGTCCTACCAAATGTATCCCATCTAGTAGCATTGGAGATTATGGTTTTGGCGAAAAACTCCCTTCCATCCGATAGCCTCACCCCTACCTACAAAACAAAAACTAAACTAACATAAGAGATAATCATTACTGGTAAATGAGCATATAAATTATATGATCAATAATCCAAAAGTATGGACTAACTTACAGCCTTTCCGTCCTCAAGTACAATGCCAGTTACGTTTGCCTTGTAGAGTATTTCGCTGCCCTGATCAACTAGGCCATTTGCTAAGGCCTTTGCGATTCCACCAACACCACCAACAGGGTAGTTAATCCCACCAAAATGCCTGTCACATAGAACCTGGGGCAAATATATGTGAAAAACCAAGATATCAATAAAACCAAGAAAGCTTCTGAACAAAATGCTTACCATGCTAGCATTGATCATTGGTGTCTGCAAAGCGTTAACTGTGCTCACTATAAAACACTGCAAAAAACCACAGATAAAATTCCCTCTGAGATTGTGGATAGGCCTTATGTAGATCCTGAACTCCATAAAATTAAAAGAATGTGTAATATGTTCCTGGGAATGACTTTATCACACCTCTGCATCAATGAAAGACAACAGCTGGGGATCTTTTATGTACTTCCGAGCAATATCTCCAGTATTTTGGGGCAAATAATAGGCTGCAGGCAATAGCAACACTGGGTCATATTGGTCCAAGACCAGGAAATCCTTAAGTTTTTTATCCAAATATGGTGACTTAAAAGGACAATGAAGACAAAGAAGATATACGATCAAGAAAGACATGATTCAACATACTCTAGAACAGTTTATCAGCTGGCATGAATCACAGAAAATAAACTGGAAATAGATACAATTGTTTTCCTTGGGCGAGCTTCAAGATCAAATTCCAAATCAATGATCACCACAACCATTTGTAACATGCCCCTTTTTCAAAGTGCTATCACATAACTGAACTAAATCCTTCAGAAACCGAAATCCCAATTTGAATAGATAGTCAGGACTAACTTTATAAGACTAATACATTAGTAATCTTTTTCACATCCTCAACTAGAAAGGACTTGGCTCTATTAAAGTTGCATTATTATTCTTTTCCTTTCATTTTCCATACATATTGATTTCGGAAACTACAAATTTAGTGTAGCTTAAGAGTTTTCCTTTTGTTTTCAACAATATATCCACCCAATGCAAAATTGAAATACAAACAGAAATAAAATTCCAATTGAGCAAATTATTAATTATCAAAATATCCAAAACACAATATCAAAATAATTCCAAACTGTATCTAGCTCTACTTTTACAACTAATTAGAAGCAAAAACCACAACATCACATAAGTTTCAAGTTTTTCAAATTAAAAATAATTACCTAATGTCAAGCACTCCAGAGGCTTTTGAAAGAACTGCCCAAAAAGGTAGATTGGCTCTTCAAGTGACTTTAGTTCCAATGAGTTCAAGGCATTGAAGATCTATCCAGTAAGTAGAAAAGTTCTTAATGTGAGTTATGACTCGCAATAAAGGTCAAAACACTAGTAGGAAGTCACAGTCACCTCAATTAGAACAGACCTTCCAACATTCATCATAGAATGCAAGGATTCCTTCCTTTTCATGGGGAAATTTACTGGTGAGCTCAGCAATGAATTCACTGTATTCTCTATGCACTTGTACAGAAAGGTCATTGGATAGATGGAAATGGACTGTAGTTGGATCAGGTATAACCTCCATCTCACAACCCACCGCAGCCAGAGCTTGGGTTATCAAATTCAGATTGCCCTGACCATATTCGAGGCATCCATCGATTTAAAGACTTTACCAGTACAAATGAAGCAAAAAAGACAATGATGAGTTTGAAACGGGAGTAATATACCTCAGACGTCAACACATAAGAAACAAAAATGTTATTATGGAGATTTCAGGAGTCAAGAAGAATTAGCCGTACTATGAAGAAACTAGAGGGCTATTCATACATAAGCAACCTCGAATCAATATTTATGTAATCTAAATAAAATGAACTAGTTAAGCAGTAGTTGCAGCCTAAATATTAATGATCAAGAGCCATTTCTTCATTTAAATACTGAATTCTTCTAGTACTTCAATTTTGACGAGAACTTAAAAGACAATGCATATCCGAAACATCAATGGAACAGTTCTTCAAAACTAATTTACATGATAATTGGTTCATAATTAAAGAGTGATATATGATTCATTAGTAATTAACCTATCATATTATCTAATAAACTAATCATTCAAGCATTCAACTCCATTGAGACTCATCAAAATCAGACACATCATAATTCAACATAAATAACAAACCAAAGGACTCAAATATAGCAAGCAAATTCTGACCTTATCACTGAACCCAAACATCACAGAAGATCCAACATCAAAAGTATACCCATCTCTCTGGTAATATCCAGAGCTTCCACCAGGAATCACATACTTCTCCAACACCAAAACCCTAGCTCCCTTAACTGCCAGCTGTGTGGCTGCAACCAAGCCCCCAATTCCTGACCCTATAACAATTGCATCATACTTATTTGTCTCCATACTCACTCCCCCATTTCCCTCTTTCTCCACCACATTCTCCCCATTCAAAACTGATTTTGCCATCAAAACAAAGTGCCTATTCCTCTTTTTTTCCCCATAACCCAATTCTACACTTCCCAGCTTGTAACCATTGAAAGTTTTTATTTTTAACATATCCCCAGATGAGAGATTGTTTCTTTCCTTTCTGGGTCTGAATTTCCTTCCCTGTGCAGCATTAATATGACCTAGCTTCAAGTTACTGAGCTTGTAATCACTGAAAGCTAAGGCTTTACCATGTTCAAAAGAAAAAATATTGTGGTTTTGGCTTCTGGGTCTGTAAATACTAAACATGTTGAAGGCTCTTTGAGTGTCAAAAGACTGAATTTGTTGAAGTTTGTGACTTAAAGCACTAAACTTTATGGTGTTTTGTGGACTGAAAACTTGAGAATTGTGGTTGACAAGTGGAGAATTGAAGGTTAAGTCTACCATGGAAACAGAGCAAGTCTTTTTGGAAACAAGTGGGTTGTTGGATTAAAGTTGGTTTTGGAAATGGAAATGGAAATGTAAATAGTGAGGGAGTAGTTTTTGATTCCAAGCCATGATTCTTGGAGGTTAGAGATGAGACAAAGACAAAATAAGAGGAAGTGGAATATAGAAGTGGAAGGAAATGATATAAAAAGGTTTTGGTCTAAGCGGGGATAATATCAATGTAGTTCCTGCTCTGTTTGACTAATTTTAGTGTTGTAAAATGTTTTTAATAATGTTTTGATCCCTTAGTTTTACTAACATTCTAGTCCTTGAGTTTATCAATAATAATTAATAGAGGGCCAAAATGTCACTGCTATGTCAAACCTCAAGGACGAAATTGTTATTTTCCCTTTAGTCTATCTATATATATATATAAAGCTAAATATTCATGGGGGTTGTTTGTCATGTGACATATTTTGAAAACTCTAGAATTGCTCCATTTTGACACATTGGATTAACAAGCCAATCAAATTGTTCTATTTTGACACGTTGGATTGATATTTATTGATCCATCTATAATTATAAATTAATTAAAAAATGGGATTTGTATTAATAATAATAATACAGGTGCATTGCATTGGCATTCCAAAGATGTGCATTAATAACAAGTATACAAGTATATTGGATTACTATTACTAATTGTGGTTTAATGATATTTGTCTAGGATTGGTATCTATAATTATATAGGTGCATTGTATTGACATTGGAAAACTTTCTTCGTATTGAAATCGTATTTAATTGCGATGCTATTCGGAAGGTCTAAATAAGGGGTTGTAAAAAGGGCTCATATTCAGTTGTGTATCATCGCAATTTGTTAGTTGGTGTCAACAATACATATGGTCTTTTGTTAATTGTTTATATGTTAGTTTGGTTTGTGAAAATAATATGTATGTTCTTCACGTGCATTTTGATCGATGGTTTTTTATTTATGTATGTTTTTATTTATGTTGTTTACAAGGCAAGATGTCGGATTGACACTGTGAGATGAGTTGTTATTTTGATTTGTTCTTCTGAACTGTAAGTATATCTTCTAACTATTTTAATGCGAAACTGTAAGTATGCCACCCAACTATTTTAACAGTTATTGTTAGATTGAATGATTATTTTTGTTCAGCCAATTTATTTGAATGATTGATTGTGTTATTCCTTCCAAACGGTAAGTGTGTTCTTTGATAATTTTAATATGAAGATTAATTAACTTTTGTTGTTTCCGTTTTTAGGTACCAGATTTTATACGAAGGGATAATTGTTCCTTAACAATGTTAACATGAAGATCGATTACATTTTCTTATATTTGTTTTCAAGGAAATGACGATTTGTGTTTATTGTTTTTTAGGTAGAGTCATTGATTCGGTGTGACTCTTCTGCCGATTAATCGGCATAAAATGTGAATTCGTTGATTTTGTTGATTTCGTTTTCAGGTTACAAGGAAACAAGTTGACGTGTTCATACAATGGTCAACGTGTTCCATACCAAGTTGTGTTTATTAAGTCTTCAGTACCGTCATTGATTTGGTATGTCTGTGGTTGCAATCGATTAGCGTGAATTATATGCTCACTAATGTTTGCTGATTTTATTTTCAGCTTACAGTTTCGGCTGAACAGTGAGTATTTTTTGTCGGTATGTTAATGTGAAGGGCAATTAGTTTTTCCTTGTATTGTTGACGTTGAGTAACATTAAACGTTCATGGTTTGTATTTTGTCTAAAGATTAAGCATTGTTTTTTCGGCCATGCTATTTGTTTGTTCCAGCCGATATGTAAGCATTTGTTTTGGGACTGAGCTACATGAAACATTTATGGATTGTTTTATGTTCACAAGACTCATGTTAGTATTGTTTTTGCTAACTCTGTTCTTAGGTGACACGATCGGCTCTCAACTATCATCGAATTGTCTTGCTCGGTGCATTGTTGTCATAGGGTGACAAAATCCGATAGTAGTTGAGGTTTGATTTTGTGATTTATGAATGGAATGTTATTGTATCAGATTTGGTCATTGTGGATGTCAACATTTCGTGCTATGGGAGTGTCATGGTTAGTATCCCGGCATGATGGTGATGGTGATTCAAAGATTTGGTTATTCCGGGTTCGGTGTTGCTGGATTATGATAGTTGTTATTGTTCAAGTTATTTTGCTTGCATGAACATTTGCGGTTTGACATTTGATGATTTAAAGATTTGTTTGTTGTAGTCAATATACGGTGATTTTGATGTTTTCAACTGTATGTGTCCCAATCATCTATGTATTTATTAATACTCAAGCAATATATCAAAGGTGTGCCTTTTGGATCATGATATCTTATGCAATGAATTACAACAAACAAATTGCCAAGCAAATCATGCCGCCCAATTATGGATGATGATTTTTTACTTCTTTTGTCAGTATGTGTGCATTGCATTGGCATTCGGAAGGTCTAACCATCTTGACATTCTTATAATGTTTTATAAGTTGTAGGTTTAACAAATATTTACTATCCTTTCCTTTGGACTTGCGCCAATGAAATATTCCTAAAATGACCAATATAGGAACCGATGGGATTGTATCAAGGTATCCAAATTCCGATCAAATTCATGGTTTGGCAGTGCTCCTAGAAAAGTCATAACAACTTATAAACGCAACCAATCATATCCTGATAATGGTTCAGCAATGGAATGTAGACCTCAATGATACCTTATGGATAAATTGTGGATCGGTATCTGCTTTATTACCATTCTATAGGCAAATTGACGGTTTGACAGTGAAGTTATCAATCGTAGCAGACTTTGAAGAATCATAATTATGGACAATGGTTAGGCAACAAATTCAACACTCTACGTTAGACAATTTTTTAAAGATGTCGAACTACAATATCAATAAAAATTTAAGTGGCTTAACGTCTCTCTAAGTTGGTATCAGGCAAGCCCCCTAATACTTGGTTTGACTATAAAAAATAACCTGGACTGACTAATATAGGAATAGATGGAATTGTTTATCTTTTTGATATATCAAGCTATCCAAATTTCGGCCATCCTTAGATCATGGATAAGTATTCAAATTTATGGTTTAGGAGTGTTCCTAGAAAAGTTATAACAAATTATAAACGCAGTTAATTACATCCTGGTTATGGTTTGGCAATGGCGTGTAGACCTCGATGATACCTTGATCTATGCAAATTCCAAGCATTCTTAAATCATGATATCACAATCGGTATTTGCCCTATTACCATTCTATAGGTTTGACAGTGAAGTTATCGATCACAGCAGACTTTGAACAATCATAATTATGGACAATGGTTAGGCAACGGATTCCATACAATACANAAAAATTGTACTCAATTTTGTGTACCTTTCCCCATATGTCTTTTCAATTATTTGTTATTTTTATAAATTCAAATCCTCTATTGGGATTATATAGATCTCATTTAGCAAAAGTTTTGAAATGATAAAATGACCAATGACAACTTGTCCTTCATGCAATAACAGTCGGAAGTGTGATTCTAGTAACCATGGTTGGCCAACGAATGTCATGGTTGTAACTAAAGGGATAAAACAATAATTTAATTTAACTATTAATATTTTAATTTAATAGTTATAATTAAAATTCTAATAAATTAGGGTTCAATAGGAAAAAATATTTGAAACAAGGGGAAAGTGGGCATTTTTCGCGCAACAAAACTAAACGTTCCTGGAATGGGCATCCTTTATATATATATATATATATATATATATAACCCGAATACCCATACAGGTTGTTCGCCATGTGGCACATTTTGAAAGCTCTAGAATTGCTCCATTTTGACACATTGGATTGATAAGCCAATCAAATTGCTCTATCTTGACACGTTGGATTGATATTTATTGCTCCATCTATAATTATTAATTAATTAAAAAAATGGGATCAGTATTAATATTTAATAATAATACAGGTGTATTACATTAACATTCCAAAGATGTGCATTAATAACAAGAATACATGTGTATTGGATTGTTATTACTAACGGTGGTTTAATGACATTTGTCTATCTATAATTATATAGGTGCATTGTGTTGACATTGGAAAACTTTCTTCGTATTGAATTCGTATTTAATTGCGTTGGTATTCGGAAGGTCTAAATAAGGGGTTATAAAAGGGGCGCATGTTCAGTTGTGTATCATCGCAATTTGTTAGTACAATATTTTAAAGATGCCGAACTATAATATTAATACAAAATGAAGTGGCTTAATTTCTCTTTGAGTTTATATCAGCAAAGCTACCGAACTATAAGATTAATAAAAAAATTGAAGCAATCAATGTCTCTCTCAGTTAAAAATTTCAGTATCAGTCTATAAATGATAAAGGTTATGATTTCCATAGTAATAAACCATTTGTTGTGCTGTAATTGTACTGCTATGTGATATTACTATTAATGGTCAGGATATCATAATTTTGGTTTAATTATGGGTTAATGCACTTCCTTTTTTATTGATGTTTTTGGTATTATGATGATGTTTGGTATTATGATGTTTAATGTCGTTCTTAATGTAGTGTTTTTGTTAAAGTGTTGATGAAATAAATGGTACTGTTTATGTCACATAATAATATAAGTTTGTATCAAATGCAACTTAAATAAGAATTACAACTGTCCACATAAAAGAATTATAAAAAAAAAATTCTCAGTCGTTATTTAATTTTGTTATTATCGTTATGTTGTTTATTAAGTGTTATTGAAGTTGATGCAAATTTTGTGGATAGATATTTATCTGAAAGAGATCAATACATTATTGGATTGCTACTACTAATTGTGGTTTAATGACATTTGTCTATGATTGCTATCTATAATTTTATAGGTGCATTGTATTGACATTGGAAAACTTTCTTCATATTGAATTCGTATTTAATTGTGTTGGTGTTCGGAAGGTCTAAATAACAGGTTATACAAAGGACGCATGTTCAGTTGTGTATCATCGCAATTTGTTAGTACAATTTTTTAAAGATGTCATACTATAATATTAATACAAAATAAAGTGGTTTAATTTCTCTTTGAGTTTATATTAGCAAAGCTGCCGAACTATAATATTAATAAAAAAATTGAAGCAGTCAATGTCTCTCTCAGTTGAAAATTTTAGTATCAGCTATAAATGATAAAGG